AAAAAATTTAATTATAGTATGGAACGGAACCGAACCGAACCGAAACTGAACGGTTCCAAAATTATATTTGGAACTGACGGTTCCATTTATTAAATACCCGAAAATTTCTGGAATCGAAAAAAATCGAATCGAACCGAACCGACCCGCGCCCACCCCTACTTTTGACCCGAATATCCAACCCATTTTACTTCCTCTTTTGCAGTTTTTACAAACCTCTGAATCGCCGTTAATGGTGAATGTGTGCCCATTCTTCAGTTACATAAACAACCCACGATATATATCGCTTGATTACGCACTCTTTAGATCCTCCACTCGGGATATTGACCAGAATCTTGCATATACCAACATGTTTGATGCAACGGTGGATGCATTTGTGTACGCTATGGAGAAGATGGGTTTTTCGGGCATTCCGGTGGTGGTGACGGAGACAGGGTGGCCGGCGGCTGGCGGCGTTGCGGCGAGTGCTGAGAATGCGTTGGATTATAATGGGAATATTGTGAAACGAACAATGAATAACGTTGGGACGCCGAAAAGACCTGGGATTGGTGTTGAGGTTTTTTTGTTTGATTTGTTTAATGAGAATGGAAAAAGTGGCCAGGAATATGAGAGGCAATTTGGAATATTTGGAGTTGATGGTACTAAGGCCTATGGCCTTAAATTCTATTAAATTTTTTTATTTTCTTTTCTTTTTTTAATTTCAAGGAATTTAACATCTTGGACTAGTGAGTTTGTCACATGTTGGTGATGTGTATACCTATCGGAAACATTATTCATTTGTTGAATAATAGAACTATTGTTTGTATGATAGAGTTAAACCGATTGACAAGATTGTCTTATTGGATAGAGTAGAAATCCAATTTCTGTTTTTCGCGAATTAGCAACCATTTCCATTTGATTTTGGCCTCTAATATTGAGATTTCTTGAGAGGAATTTTCATGGTGAGAATTGTCATAATGGTGAAGATTTGGGGAATGGTGCTCGAGGGCAGAATAAATCGAATGATTTGGAAGAACAACTTGTGAATACTAACATGAAGATGAATCTCAGGAGATAATTGATAAAAATAAACATGATCAGGATAAGGTAATTGGTTTGCTTTCGTGTCTTGTGAACTTGGGGTGGGGGTGGTTTGGTGGTTTGGGCTTGGGCTTGGGCTTGGGCTTGGGGGGTGGAGATGCAGATGGTTGAGGAAAAAGACATTTTTTTTTGGAAAAAGTTCACAAATCAGGTATTAACTTTGACAATTGCAAAAATCAAGTGTTAAGTTTCAAACTTACAAAACTGAGATATTTATTTATTAATTAAATATTTGATTGTAATATAATATAATTAACCCACCCCACCTCCACCACCTCTACTGTACTGCGACCGACGACTGTTTCCCGACCAAGCTTAATTCCGACGACTATTCCGGTGACCGTTTTGCAGCAGCTTAATTCTGGCGATTGCTCCGATTTCGACAATTGTCAAGGTCACAATTATATGCAATTTGATCGCATATATCTAATTAATTAGTTAAAAATTAATTTTCGGTCACAGTTTATTTCCAGATCGCAAATTTCTAAATTAGTTAGTCACAGATTTTTTAATGGTCACATATAAAAAAATTTGTAGGTCACAATTAATTCGTCGTTCACATATTTCAAAATTTATGGGTCACACAGTCACAGATTTTCAAATTAGTTGGTCACAAATTCTTTTACGATCACAGATTATATAATTTTTAGGTCATAGATAACAAAATGGTTGGTCACAAATTAACCAACACCCCACTTCCACCTCCGATCATGATCCAACACCTTGACCGCACAACACCGTGCCCAAGCCAACCATCGCCTCCATCACTGTTAGATCCAACATACCATGTCAGATACGCCACCATCACACCACAACCCTACCACCGCCACCACTAAATCCAACACCACTGCCAACCACCATCACAAAATCACCACCACAGACAACAAGGATGTTAAAATATTTTGGAGAGAGAAATGAGGGCAACAGAACGAAGGCGAACCAAATAATTGGTCACATACATCCAAACTCTCATCCCCCAATCTCAATCCACTACCAATACTTGGTCACAAATCGACCAAATAGTTGGTCACAAACACTCTTTGTCTCATCCCATCGTCGCCATCGCCTCCACCGCTGCCAACAAAAATCACAACCACCACGTTAGGCCCACTGCCATCGCCACCACAACACCGCCACCACCACATACACCACACAAAATCGCAATCTGTAGCTGCCAAGACCAACACCACCTAGCAAGCACCGCCAACATTAATACCACCACAGCCATCACCAACAACT